CCAGGGTCTCTCCCTATCGCTAGGTCCTTAACTGCATCGCACCCGTAAAGTCACTGCTACTGTGGAAGCTACCATATTCACAGATTCTGGGGCCTTGCCTGTGCACGGCTTTGTGGGGCCCCTGCTCTGCTGCTCCCACGAGTACAAATGCATTAACTCCATTAGGGCCACGTAACGTAGTTTATTGTGTCCCAGGTTGATGACTTTTCATTGGTTTGCATTCTGTAAGGGTAGGCTTTCAAAAAGTTTAGAAAGACACGGAGGGAGGAAGGCCACGTGAGGGGGCAGAGCTTGCAGCGGTGTGTCTGCAAGCCAAGGAGCACCGAGGACGTCCAGCAGCCACTCGAAGCCGAAGCAGGATCTGGACCAGGCTCTCCCTCGGAGCCCCAGGAGGAGTCCTGCCCGCGCCTCAGCCTCATTGTACGGCTTCTCGTCTTCAGAACGGGTTTGGTCATCGTAAATGCGGAGGAAGATGGGTCAGAAATGGAGAACACCAAAAAAAATTACAGAGGAGATGCCTCCGGAAAGAATAGAGTGGTTTTCCCTGGGCCTCCAACCGCCCCGAGCCTTTCATGCTCCTCCCTGGTGCAGTCTGGCGTGGTGCTTGGTGGGCACACTGGCCTGGAGCAAGGCCGGCCCGCTGGGGCGGTGGGGGGGCAGCTATGTGGACCCCCAAGACAGGGGCAAAGGCAGAACTGGCCGAGCTGTCGTGGTGCTGAAGCCGGGAGCCTTCCTTGGGGTTCTGACACTAGCAAGACATTGCGGGAGGGTGTTCAGTTACTGTTCAACACATTTCATGTCCCGCGTGGTGGTTTTCAGTAGTGATAAAGCAACCGCCTCAAATCTAACAGTTTTTGCTGCAAGATGTGACTTCTGACAGGTCCATCTATTTTGTCTGTAGTGTCTCATACATCCCACAACTTCCAGGAAGACGGGAATCAAGGGGCGGCTGCCCAGCTAGAGAGCAGAGTGGAAACGCGGAGCTCGGACCCGCACGTTTCAGTCCACTCGTGCTTGTTCTGGGTAGGAGCTCCCATGTGTTTCCCTTATGTCAGCATCATCATTGCCAGCGTCCAAGTCAGCAGTGCACCTACCCTAAAATTGTCTTGAAATAGAGGAAGATGCACCAGACAAGACCCAGGCCTCTGCTGTGACTCAGCAGGATGATAACGTGAAACAAAAAGATCTGTGCAGGATAAATGGTCTGAGCTACCTGGCTGCCCCCATATGTGGGGGTTTAAAGCGAACCCCCATCCCCCAGAAAATGGGAATCGACTGTGCTGAGTCGCCTGGGTGCGGGGGTGTTCGGCCGGGCAGCCTTAGGTCAGATGCTCCATCTCACTGAGCTGCAGTTCCTCCTCCAGGAAGCAGATCCAGTGATGGGGTGTCCTCCGGAGGATGTGTGAGAGCTAAGAGTTAAACCTGTGCGGTGCTCGTGGCAGGCGGGCCAAAAGTGAGAACTTAACGCACGTTAGCCTTGCAACGGAAATAACTTCTTAATCCCCCGCAAGAGCTATAAAATCAACTACTACATCCTGTCCCCATAGTTTTACATACAGAAAGAATGCCTGAACCCCCAAATTGAAAAAAGACACTTGCTCTGGACCACTTGGCCGTGGACGCGTCCCGTCCAAGGCTAGGTCTGGGGAATGTCCCAGAAGCTCGTAAATGCCACTGGCACTCGCTGGGGAAGAGGCTCCGTGGAGTCTGAACGGCCGGGGCCCCTTCGTGCGGAAGGAGAGCGTGAGAGGGGGCGGGA